ACAAGACTGTGAAGCTTTGTGCATTGTTGGAGGATCATTAAAGAAAGTGCATTTGTGTTTGGACACATTTCTTTCTAGTTCCAGCAGCTGCATGGATGATTTGATGGATGAAGATGAGAAAGACAGGGCAAAAAGGTACTCCAGACATATTTACACTTTGCATTCACATTTCTGATTCTATGACTTTTGAAATGTTGATGACTTCACTGTCGCAGAAATTTGAGAAATCATTTTCGGTGCAATTTCTCGAAAATGCCTCCCTAACCGTGTTGGCAGAAAATGGTGTTTTGAAAATGTGCTTGTAATAAGAACGGATCTTTGCAGGGTGTTGACCTCACTTGAAAAACAGCATAGCGACATGTCAAATAAACAGCTCAACTCAATGGGGAAACTCACTAGTCACATCGATAAGACTACCCGGTACTTTGGCTCAAAAAAGATTTGCAGTCTTTTGTCTCGTAAACATTGCCTCCAACCAACATCTACATAATTAAACAAATACTCCACTGTGACAATATCTAGCGCTCTGACCAGATTTAGAAAGTGGATAATTTCGTTCAATACAGAATTGGAAAAAAAAATGAGGTGAAGTGTCATATTTTTGCAGACTGCTTTGTAGCTTATAAAAAACAGACATTATGAACAAACCTGCTGAGGTGGTGGGGACGTCTCCATTGCGAGACAGCGAAAATAGTGCTATTTCTAATTTTGTTTCAATTAGTTTAATCTGGGATTGTATCAAAATGTAACGGATTCTTCCTTCTCCAAAACCTTTCGCTGTGCTAGTGGTCTCAAAACGTTGCTCTTGCCTTCTTCTGGAAACTGACTGACCTTGTCTTGACCGCTTCAGGGCATCCCGAAACAAATCAGAAAAGAAAAGAAGAGACCAGTTCAATGTGCTCATCAAGGAGCTATGCACCATGCTGCAAGGCCAAGGCCATCCTCGGAAGATGGACAAGTCCACCATACTACAAAGAACCATCGACTTCTTACAGAAACAAAAAGGTAGGGCCGACCCACGCAATTCTTGTTTGTTTTCCCTTAGTTACCGTCGATAGCGACGGTACCTCGTCATTCACTAAGGTCTTACTGAAACTGTGCTTGCTGTGCAGACATCAGTGCTCAGAATGAAACGTGTGACGTGAGACAAGACTGGAAGCCTTCATTCCTCAGCAACGAGGAGTTCACCCAGCTCATGCTCGAGGTAAAAAAAAAAAAGCAAGAAGATGCACTACACTGACATCCTCTCATCCAGATGTTTTCAATACGGAAAACTGGGCAAGGATCGGCTAGCCGGCACTTCATCTGCTGTAGCATGAATACGGTCCAGACCCTCTCATTGCGTCTGCTGACAATAAATCAGTCACCAAATTTGCTGTTTAACTGTTCTATTGTTTTCTTTTACAGGCACTGGATGGTTTCTTGATAGCATTAACTACAGATGGAAACATCATATACGTGTCGGATAGTGTGTCTTCACTTATTGGACACTTGCCGGTGAGTGTAAAAGCATAGAGGAGATGCATGTCTTCTTGCTGCTTTGACTGTAAAGCTGTACTACCGTATCACTTCAGCTAGGTTCACACTGCATCTCAATTCATTTTTTTTTTTGCCCGTCTGCAACACATATCGAATTTTTTCATGCAGTGTGAAAAGTACAATTCAGATTTTTTTCCCCAAACATGACCTGGGGCTATTTCGTGTATTTATATAAATCGGATATGTATCCAATGCGTATGAACGCTCATCTGTCGATATCCGACCTATATGTCACCAAAATCTGCAAAGTTGCTTTGAGTGTTTTCTTGATATTTGACTTTAATTGAATTCCACTTGAAACATGGAGCATTGCCGTAAATTGACATATGTGGCAATTTATTATGCGCGGCAATGACATGATGTCAACTTTACATAGATGTCTCACTTAATTAAGAAGATCGAAAAGCCTCGTTTCATTTCCCCAAAATATTTCTACCTCCTCCCGTCTTACGCCTCTAATGATATGAGATGATGAGTAGAACCATATTTACTTCTGTAAACACTGTTTTGTTTGCCTGTCACATCACGGACGCTTTGCATTCACATTACAAGTCGCATTTGTTTTTGTATTGCGAACGAGTACATTAAAAAGGATTTAGCAAAAAATCTGAATTGTGCATGGTGCCCTGCAGTGTGAACATAGCCTTTGTAACAAACCCATTAAATTCTTAACACTGAATTGCATCTATTTACTGTTTGGGGACAGTTTTGTGACCATAATGGATTTGAAATAAAACAAGGTGGGATTCAAGTGGAGGCTTTCAGGAAGCCTTAAGAGGCTTCACAAAAGCATTTGATTTGTACCATTAATGACAATGTACTCTTTGCAGTCTATGACTGTTTATATTTTGGAGCCCACATACCTAGCCAACCTCGTAGAGATGGTTGCCAGGCCTTCACTCGCTACCACCTTCAGCTGCAGCTCCTTTGTGGGTCTTACTACCTTCACGTTTATGCTCAGTAAGCGAAACATGGCTTACTGTTCGACAACTTTGACGTGTAAGAGGACAATAGTATTTTGAAGAAGATAGGTATGCCATTGTCAAACTGTAAATACAGACACTTTACAACACCATTCGAGAACAAGAATGTCAGATTAAATTCACTGGAAAAGTCCTCTGTTTACCAGAATCAGATTCTTTGGACAGATGAAACCAAGAGCAAAGTCTATCAGAATGATGGAAACATTTCACAGCTCAAATCCAAAACGTACACAACATCTTGTGTTAAAAATGGTGGAGTTCAAGTTATTGTATGGATGGATATCACCGCTAATGGATTAGGCTCTCATCGAGACTATATTCTCTGCTGGCATGCAGCCAAATGCTATAAAACTGAGAGGAGGGTGCTTCACAGTGCAGGTTAATGGCCTTGGACATACTTTGAAAGCAACCTTTTTACAGGGAAAAAGGACTCTTGCTCAATGGCCAATTCTGACATGAAGCTAATACAGCTTGCGTTTCACTCGCTGAAGGCAAAAGGCAGCAAGAACCACAAGCAGCGAGTGAATGTGGCCACAGCGAAGGCATGGCAGAGTGTTAACGTTTCTTGTTTCCTTCCTCTCGGTGTGATACTATTGTCCATCATGTTTCCTCGTGTTTACTTTGATTCCTTCTTTTGTGGAAGCCTGACCATTCTTTATCTATCCTATTGCATCAGTCAGATATGGTGGACCAAAATATCTTAAATTTCCTCCCGGAGCTAGAACACGGAGAGGTGTATAAGCTGCTATCATCTCACATGCTGATGACTGACCCCATTGCTGCTGACTTCCTGACCAGTGAGTCGCCTCTTTGCACTTTGTCTGCCCCCTCACAGTTCAGGGCAATTTGTGTGTGCTTCACCAGGTCAGCACAAGTTAAAAATACATGGCAGATGAGTACAGTCAAATCAGTCCGGTCTGGAGGATCTATTTAAACAAGTGAAGAAGCAGGTTGTGGAATTGGGGTCGGTAGTTTATTGGATTGCTGATTGGTGTCTAAAATTAGCCGTTTAGCTAATAATAGTCACATGCTTAGTATCATAGTTTAGACTTTTAATCACTGTTATGTTAACACAGTAATCCCTCAGCAATGAACTACCCAAGGACAAGGCTCTGACCTTAATCCTGCATTACTATTGGGTTTTTCACAGAAATAGAGATGTGACTAGCTAAGCCTAAAAACAGTTACAGAACCATGCGTCATGGACCCAACGCACATCAAAAGCTGCTCCAAATTACCGGGAAACCTTTGATGATGATGCATTTTCTTTGGGTTATTTTATTTATTTTATTAACCATAAAATTATCTACCCTTACTGTTGTGCAGTAAATGTTTATGGAAATGTGGTCAAAGTCCTGTTGTACGACATGAGTCAAAACTGGACTCTGACCAAAGATAATCATAAGAAAATGCCTTCTCTCACACGATTTAAGAAACGTAAACACTCATATTTTAAGTAATAATATTACTTAATATCGTACAATGTTTGTAGCCCAGCTTTCACCCTTTCCTCTCTAGGCAGTTGCACATACAAACACGCCTAACGCTGATTTGTTTTGGACTAGCCATTCTGTCAACACCGAATTAAATTTAAGATGCTGTATTTAGGTGAGGCACATGTGGAATTTTGCTGTCACCTTGCCCGAGGGAACATCGATCCAAAAGAGCCGCCTGTGTACGAGTATGTCAAGTTTGTCGGAGATTTCAAGTTTCATAACAATGGTGAGCGTCGCATTTTATTAACACAACGAATCAAGTAACTTTCCATGACAGAAATCGGACTGTTATTTCTCGTAGTGCCTACGTCCTCTTGTAATGAGGTTGAATTGACGTTACCAAGAAGCCTGCAGACGTCGCTGGAGGAGCAGGTCTGCCTCATTGCCACTGTGCGATTAGTCACGCCGCAGTTTCTCAAGGTGAGACTTCCTGCTTGTTGTGTTACGCATTCATCTGTGTTAGCATTATTTAGCGAATGAGGCTGAAGCATCCCACATTGTGGCAGTGAACTTTGCTGAGGCTTTTCTGAACAAAACCTTGAGACTCAGTAGTACCTTGCACCTTGCAATTTACATTGATGCTTTGTATTGTTGCTCATTGAGTTACAAAAATATTACCGTAACAGATTACTTCAACATCCACGAAGTTTTAGGGTTTTTTTGTTTCCTTCGTCAAGTAAGAAAAACTCACTTGAGTTACAAAAATATTACCGTAACAGATTACTTCGACATCCACGAAGTTTTATTTTATTTTTTTTCCTTCGTCAAGTAAGAAAAGCTCATAGCCTTTCATAGAAAGTCTTAGGCTTGCTGCGATGCTTGAGTAAACATTGCTCGTTGTGAAGTCATTGAGGTGACTTTCCCCCTCCTGTGTTCCTTTTGTTTCGTTTTTTAATTATTTATAGGATTTGTGCAATGTGGATGATCCTTGCGATGAATTCACGTCCAGACACAGCCTCGAATGGAAGTTTCTGTTTTTAGATCACAGGTAAATGTCAGCGATTCCAATAACGTCAGAAACCAGCTCTGTGTTGATGGGGTTTTTTTAACACACTTGTTGTTATTTGTTACAGAGCTTCTCCAATCATCGGATATTTACCCTTTGAAGTTCTTGGAACATCTGGCTATGATTACTATCATGTGGACGACTTGGAGCTTATAGCTCAATGTCATAAGCAACGTGAGTAACCCAGACTGCTGCCGCTTCTTTCTTCGTAACCTGGAATGGACGTCTTACTGACTGAGGGCATTCATTTCACGAATACACAATAAGAACCTAGAGCCCGACAAATCTACATTTGCTCTGTACAGGCTCATTTGTACCACGGAGTACAGATGAGTCACTTTTTCTATTTTCATTGTCAACTGTTGCAAACAGTACAGAAATAGCACAGCGGTAGGCTATATAATGGATGGTGCAAGAACCACTACAGTCCATCGACGGGCGGGTCAACTGAGAATTGTCACTAGAGTCCGATAACATTGAATGGGAGGAACCCCGAACTTCATTTATTGTAAATAGCCACTAGCCAAAAGGAAATGAATAGCAAATGCTGCATGTTCTCTATTTTTTTTTTTTTTTTTTTTTTTTTTTTTAATGCCATGTTCTGCTTCCTCGAATTTGATGATGCTGTCATATTATTTATTCAACTATCATCATTTGGGAGACCAAATGTCGACTGTTTTTTTTTCTGTCCCCAGTAATGCAGTTTGGAAAGGGTAAATCCTGCTATTATCGCTTTCTGACGAAGGGTCAGCAGTGGATTTGGTTGCGGACGCACTACTACATTACTTATCATCAATGGAACTCCAAACCTGAGTTCATCGTGTGTACTCACACTGTTGTCAGGTGAGATTTCGTTTGTTGTTGCTTCCCCGCAAGAAGGATGTGTACCCTCTTTTGGTGTCCTGGGATTAAAAATGCCTATGAGGCACACGTCTTCCTGGAGAAGCACTGTGACTTATATTCAATTTATTTATTTATTTTTTTGTGATTCAGTTATGCTGAAGTACGAGCTGAAAGGAGGCGAGCTTTTGGCCTTGAGGAGCTGTCTCCTCCTGAGATAGCTCCCTCCTCTGTGAAGGTAAATGTCCAGAAATTTCTCTCTGACATCTACAAATTATGCGATCTGAGCCCCTTGTTTGGTATGTTTTAGGCCCAAGAGTTATACTTGGACATGTGCTCCACACTGGATCCGCCACCGGACAGAAACAGCGGTGCACGTTCGGTCTCCTCCCACAGCTCTCGGAAGTCCTCCCACACAGCACTGTCAGACTCCGCGTGTGAGTCATCCTCTGCTCCCTAAAGTGCTAACTCACTTAAGAGGTTGACATAATACAAGATGATTCTCCTGTGTGGCTGCGGGATTTGATGTCCAGTATCAGCAATTTAGAAAACTGGAATACTGCAAGATAATCCAGCCACTCACCCATCCATCCATGTTCTATAATGCATGTTCTCTTTAAGGTTAAGGCTGAGATTAAGTTTATTCCAGCAGACTACACCCGGTGCCAACCAATCACAGGGCATATACAGACACATATAGGACACATGTAATAGGTCTATATATTTCCTTCCACCAAGAGGTATTGAAGTGTTTTAATTTCTGTTTTGTATGGTCCGGCCCGGTCTTATATAATACTCCAAAAAGGAATTGCATTTTCTTACGTGAAATAATTTACTATTTTTGGCATATCTGTTTCAATAGAACTATTTCTCACTCCCCAGAATCCAAAATTGTTACGTCTTGCCCTGGTAACATGCTGTATGTACTAAGGGACAAATGAAAACGTAGCGCTCTATATAATAACGGGAATTGAGGCTCAATGCATTCCCCGTGACTCGTAATTTAAAAATAAATAAATAAATGGGAGCATTGGCTTCATCATTCTGCTAACGCACAATAGGGTGGATAGAAAAACAAGTATATCCCGTTCCATATTTTTTTTTCTTTGCCATAGCAACAGAAATATTCTCCCTGCTCCAGAATGAAAGATGGTGCCAACCCATCATATGCCATCCTCCATGAGGCAGGAAATGGCCTAGCATGTCACAGACCAAGCCCAAATATATGGCTTTTCACCCATACAAAAGTGCCATCCTAGTGTAATCTGCTAAGCAAAACTTCCGTGGAACTTGCGGTTAATTAAAGTTGAGTAAATTCCCCACGTATATGCTGCTTTTATGATTAAGTTGTCTCTCATTCTTACTTTAGCCAACCTTGTTGATTTTTGCCTCCGCTTGCTCAGACTCCAGCTGCTTCTCCACCCACCGGGGCCACAAACACTAAACAGTTCCCCCTTCTGTGCATTTGCGAACAAGTCGCAGTATTAGCAAGCAATATACTGCAAACATCAGTTATATTACAATCACACTATGACATTTTCTCCATCTTTTTCCTTGAATAATTACATCACGATACAGAAATACCGCAATGATCATCATATTGTGAGAGAACCAATGAGGCCCACGTTTTGAGGAAATATTATGTTCCTCAGTACCATTGCTGATTCAAGCGTGTGATCTTTATTCTGTGCAGCAGCAAACTCGTACACAGACACCTGCACACCGTCATGGCAGTCGACTTCTATTGGGACTGAGAGGACGCCTGCCAGACTCCAGGTTGGTCGTTCAAAGGTCAGTTTAGACTTAGGGTGTGCGTGTGTGTGTGTGTGTGCGTGTACGTGATTGGAGATAATGGAGGGAAAAGGTTGGTGGGAACTACTATAAAAAAATCAACACAATATTTGGAATGGTCAAATTTACAAAACCTGTATCATCTTCACCTTGTAGAATTCGATCCAAAGACAAAATTCCTTTGACCTGGTGCCCCAAATGAGACTCCCTATTTCTCCTCCATGCAGCAAGAACACAGCGATGGTTAGTGTTTAGACTTCCCTTCCTGTCATTTGTCTTCCTCTCTTTTGTTTTGTTTGCGGTGCGGTTAGGTCTCCTGCTGCTGCTGTGTGTGCGTGAGAGCGCTTCCTCCCAACTGTGTACATTGCCTCCAGGTTATAGGATTAAGTGCACAAATCAGACGACAGCTCAGACATTTTTCAGATTAGCATCTGCTTTAAATGTCGCTTTGGAACGTTCAGCAGTTTGTTTCAAACCATTAGACATGTAAAGTCTATGTACATGACTATGTTATTGCATCATATTTCTCATTTACTGCTTTTTAGGAAAAGCCAGAATACAAGAATTTAGACATATGAATCCTGTGTTTTCAGCAACAGCAAACGCACCAGCAGTCGTCCATGTTTCAGCTGCAACAGCCTCAGCTGGGTGTCATGAACCAGCTGAAGGAGCAACTAGAGGAAAGGACACGCATCCTGCAGGCCGACATAAAGACGCAGCAGCAGGAGCTGCATGACATCAAGGAGAAGCTTCACCTCGCTAATCTTCAGGTAACCAACACCTCATGTTAAGCTCGACACCCGAGAGCACGTCGGCCAGCAACATGTATCACATGCATCTCTGCTTGTGACAGAACAAAGCTATGTTGGTATTTATACATCATGCGGTTTGCATCAATTACCGCAAATTATCAAATTTATTTCCATCAATTCCAGTGGCGAGGGTTCCAAAAATTCCTCACACCGTTGAATATTACTGAAACAAAACAAAGCAAAGTCTTTGCAAAGGTTCTGGTGGATCTCTTGTTTTGGATCTCATCTGACTGTGCAGGTGCCCCTAATGCTGAGACTGATGAGTGCACATGTCATCTGGGTTAATTAGTCGTATTGGGTAGGTAAGCCCTCTGTTGGCTCACCTCCCACATTAACAGGGGAAATGGCCCCACCAAGAGGCAGCATACAAACCTAATGACCCGCATACAGTAACATTAGTGTAGCAATGATTCAGTTTCCTGATGACTCAGAAGGCACTCATGTTAAGAAGCCACTTTTCTGTTGTATTCAATGAGCGTCGATTGACATTTTCTCACTGTGCCTTGTAGATGTTGCTACAACAGCCTATACACAACGAAATTGGCCAACAGCCGTCGCAGCAGCAGCAGCCACAGCCGCAACAACCGCCGCAGCAGCAGCAGGGCCCGGGCAGGCCAGCATCACAGAGCCAATCAGGGGTCATCAGGCAGCTCGCAGGCCACCCGAAGCCACCGTCCTGCGGTGCTCACAGTTCGTCCCCTCACTCGCTTCTGAGAGAGAACAGCTCGCCCTCGACACAGGTACGCCCCACAATAAAATGTCTAACACACAAGCGGTAGAATTTCTGTTTGAATATATTCAAGGTTACCAACTACTGATCTTTTTTTCCCCCATCACTCCAACAATATTCAAAAGGTCCCACAGAGGATATCTCGAAGCGGTCAGGTGCAGTCAGTGAGTTTGCCCGTGCAGACCAACACGAGTCTGACCATGCCCTTCTACAGCAACCCCATGATGTTTTCTCAGACCAACACGAGGCCTCTACATGACGCAAACCAAAGACACGCGAACAATGACTTTAGCCAAGATGGACAACTCCGGTAAGTCACACATTGGGATATACTCGGAGAGAGCACTACTTCAATGAACAATTGCTTCAGATTACATTTTGTAGTCATGAGTAAGAAATCTGGTTAAGTTCAATATGTTTTCTGCAGGAAATGTAGTGTAGTTTTTGAAGGACTGCTTTCTCCAAATTTTGTTTGAGAACTGGATATTTGGGGTCTATCCATGTATCAACCGATCTACCTACGTCATAGATAGACGATCGAAAACTATGATTATATCCTATAGGATGCTCCTGAACCAGCCAATGCAGACACTGGTCCCCACGAGCAGTGGGTCCACACAGTCCTCCCAGCAGTGCAACATGGGCATTCCCCAGACCATGTGAGCATTTTCCCCAACTCACCACCTCCATCCCGACCCTCCCATGTCTGACCTGTGAACTGTTGCCTCCCTACAGATATACCTTAGAGCAGCAGATCATCACGCCCTCGTTCCCCATGCAACAGGTCAACTGCAACGCCGTGCTTGTGCCCTCTCAGGTGTTCACGTCGCCTATAATGATCCCACACAACAGCTTCATCTCCCACCAGTCGCAACAAAGCTATCAGGCTCAGCCTCAGGCCTCCCAGCACTCCCTGCATCTGCAGCAGCCCCAGCAGTTCTTTCAGGTGTGACGTTCAGCCATCTTAGGCTGTTATCGATCTGTTGCGTAATCTTGTTGTGGCTTTGCATTTGCTTAAAGCAGCTCTCATGTCACCATAGCAACAGCGCGTCAGCAGGCTGTTCAGCAGAAGATTTGCATTTTCTTCAAGATTCAACTTGAACCAAAGCGTCAACTGACACTTAAATTGTAAATAATGGTATCATTTATTTACAACTCGCTGAAATATGATAAATACAACCAGAATAAGAGTGAGATTATACATTTGTGATGGTGTCAGTAAAAAATGAGCATTATTATGCTTCTAAAGGCAGTTTTTTTTAATACTGCTTCTCATGAAACTGCAGCTAATGAAGCGGCTGCTGTGAGTGCAGTATAATGAACCGTCATTAGGGCCTGATTGATTTTTTTTTCAGGCCGATGCAGAATTTTGACAGAAAAAAATACAGATTGCGGATTAAACAGATGATTAATTTAAAAAATATGTAAAATGTATAAAATACCCCCCCGAGTTTCTAGAGTACCACACTTGATTATTCGAAAGGCCTGATGTGATATCGCCTGCTGACCTGTTTTTTGTTTTGCAGATGACTCAAGGACTTGTGCACAGCGGATCGACTCCAACATTCTTACACACCGCCAATATCCCACAACAAGGCACTGTGGGATACATCCAGCAGCAGCAGCCGCAAACACAACAGCAACAGCCACAACAAAGACAATACCAACATTCCCAAAACCAGAATGCTAATGTTTCAGACTTGAGGAATATGCTAACGCGGTAGCACTGTGGAACTTGCAAGAGCACCGAGCTCTGCGTCCTGTTGCTGTCGTTGGAAGTCAAAACTGGCATCGAGGCGGCAAACTGATGAGAGCGCCTGAACATTTGATGTGAAGCTGCTCGCCTCCACGAAGAAGTGCCGGAGTAAAACGGCGACGGGAAAAGGACCTGAGGAATGTGATGATGAGAGGCGGGGCCTTTCATCACCAGCCTGCAACACACTCAGCTGTCATTGAAACAAGTGAATTTATCACCGCTGTCACAAGGACGCCACTTTCATTTCACAAGTGTCTGTTTGCACTTTTGGTACCAAGCCCCACCCAAGAAGAGGATACAGTATTTATTTTTGCCTATACGTTTAATGTTATAAATGTTCCCTCTAAGCAGTGGCTTCACAGTGATCTTACTTTCCTGACAACCTCCTTCGGTGAAATCCAGAGCATTGCTTTTAATTTTCCATTTTGATGAGTTGGATGTCACGCCCCGTCTAAATACTACAAACGCGCGCCCAGATTTTGTTTGAATGAAGAAGGGCTTCTTTAACAGCCGTCTCTTGACACGACTCCTCTGATGAGCCCTGTAGCAGCACCCCTCCACTTGTTTAACAATTAAATATAGGAGGGTGGGTTGTCTAATGTGCCTTTTAACCATGCTACTAGTACCATGGTGCAGTTCCAATGTTGTGTCTGACTACGGCTTTAAAAATCCTGCTCAGGTCCATTTGGAATACAAAGTTTATTTTCATTGATGGTAATTTATATATATTTTTTGCCCACATTAGATTGAAAATAATATATGGTTAGATTTGTATAGGAGATTAAATAGATAGATCTATGTATATTGGATGCCTTTTTCAACCTTAACTTGCCCCCACCAAACAATTGAAGCACTAGCAGCAATGATATTCTCATTATTTTATTAAATAACTTATTTGCAGAATACATTTGTTGTAAAACAGACATGGGATTAAGAAAGCAGTTTTGTATATTGAGATTATGATTTATGTTGATGTTCATGCAGGAATTGATGGGTCACCACTTGTTTTAAAGTCTTACACCCACCTCATTGCATTTCATTGAGAAAATCCACTCACAGAGAAAGATGAGAACAGACTGATGTGCTGTCTAAAGACAGTCAAATCGTTATGAACTATACGCTGCAATACACTGATAGTTGACTCTGAAGCCAAATGCTAATTATCAGAAATATACAAGTGTATGTGTGTAAAATGAATTTTTCACTCCAATCAATTAGGATAACAAATGGTGCAAAAAGGTGGGCCTTTACAAAGATAATCATGCTCTATTCTACTTATGACCACACATAGTTCATTGAAGACTAAATTATCACCAGTTCTGTTGGTGGTTCCATCTCACCCCCGACTCTAATGAGGACAAGTGCTAAAGAAAGTGGACGGATGGACATCAAATGTAGTGTACTCATTTAGCCTACCGGTATGTTGATATCGTGCTTTACGAGTTACTATCTTTGTAAAGGCTCCCCGTTTGCATTGGATTGTGCAAGTGTAACTTGTCAGTCACGAGTGAAAAACTGTTTACAAAAATATACGACAGGCTAGTGAGTGTGCATGCATAATGATAGCATATCACAGCAAAGCTGGACAGATGAACTGCTGCTCATTACCCCAAAATCAAACAGTTTGTTTTATTCCTCATGAGTATTTCTGTCATTATTTTTTATGATGGAAGCCTCTTTACAGCACGCTCACTTGCCTGTCTGTTTTTACCCCGAGTTCTCATTGTTTCCATTTGAGTACATGTTTTTCTGCAGCGGTTGAGAACCACGGAGGAAGAAAACAAGCCCAGTAGCTACTCTTTGACTTATGTGCAATGTCCCTTTGAGAATGTTAATTTATGCTGTATATTTACAATGTTTCACTACAGGTGTGTAAAGATGTGTACATTACGCCACTAATGGTACTGTGTAAATTATATTTTTCTAACTTACCCTGACATTCCTCCAGGCAGAGAACACAATTATTCCCTTCACAATGATTACAGCTTTGAGACTTGGGAATGTGGTACAGCCTTTGTTTTTGATGGCCCGGGCAGGTTACAACATCTTGTGGTTGACCTGTGACATTCTGGTTTTTAAAGCTAAGCAGTGCCATGCCATCAAGTGATACATTTGTTACGATAATACATGTCCTTAGGCATAATGACATTTACTCTCAAGCTGTTGCTCATCTATCATGAAGATAGGGAGTTGAGGTTTTCACGTGTGGACCTTTCAGTCCACATCTTTGCCTTGCATCGATATTAAATAAAACATCTCACTTGTGACTGACTCATAAAAGAGTTGACGCAGTGAAGTTAAACCTCCAAAAGAATTTGCTTTATCAAATGAAAACGCCCCCTTGTCCCCCTGAAATCTAGATGCAAACGTTAAAGCCCCCAATCGGTGCAGTTTGCGAGAATATTTAGCTCTAAATGGGTGCGGTTTCAAAAACCATCCCCTCACTTTCAGCTTCATGGGCTTTTTCCATTAAGTGTCAATGTTTTTGAAGGTTTTGATTTTTCAAGTGACACTTTCCATTTGTATGTGAGAAAATGAAGGCCAGCGGCTGAGGAACACAAACCTGCTACACAGCCATTGCTGCCATTTCCGTGCAGAAAACACAGTGAATATATTGTATATTAGAATGTACAAAAAAACACTAGATGATATAGTTTATTTTCTATGTCTAATAGAATGCATATGTATGTTACATGATTTTAAAATTAAAGTAATTTTGTAACAGATAAAGAAGTGTCTTATTAGTGGAGATGAGGCTTTGTTGTGTTGATGTTGCACAGTCGCTTTTATGTACTTTTCTGCCCCTGTATTTACCATTGAAATAAGCTTTAAATATATTGTTGAAAATATAATAACAAATTGAGTTTACAGCCTAAAATATCTTGATATTAATTATGTTATATTGAATTATTTATAAATCAACCTGGTTATTGTGAAATATTTGGAAATAAATATTTTCAAACATACAGTATGCATTGTGATTGTGAACAAAAACAAATTGGACATGCTTTTAATTTATTTCATTATCTTATGATTCGGTTAAGATCACGTTGAGGATTTGCATTATATTGTGTGTGTGTGTGTGTGTGTGTGTGTGTGTGTGTGTGTGTGTGTGCATGCGAGACATCATTAATGTATAAGGAAAATATTGGTAGGTACCTTTGGAATAGTCTCTCTTTTTAAATTGCTACTTAACAGAAACTTCAGTCACTTTGTATACTTTGCTAATCAGTACCTCCACCTCCTCTCCACCAAGGTGACAAATGTCCAAGACACACACCAAATGCGTGTCTTCCAGCTCGCTGGCAGTGGCCATGATGTCCTCTGGGAGACCAAATATGAGGTGTCATTGTGATGCTAAATAACTCTGCAGTGGTGGCAACGGGGTGAATTTTACCTGGTCTGTAGTGTGCCACTTCACTGCGGCTCGAGGGGACACCGCTCAGAGGGCAGACGAAACCAGAGGAGAGACAAGACAGCATCGTGTCATCATGACGACCCGGAGGAAGTCCGACGGCTCTGTGCTCACCGGAACGCTCAATGGGTAAAAATACTGCGTCGACAGCTATTTGCTTGTTTATGCCTGTCAAAACACATTTTTAAAAATAAAGGTCAAGCATATAACTCAAGCAAAACATACATTAAAATGGAAGTTGCTTTTCATTAAGTCCAGTATTACCTGGTGACTCACTGATGACCCGACCAGGCCCGACAAAAGGTCAGTTCTTCTGGTTTGAAATAATTTGGAAGAAATTGCACCTGCCCAATTGAGGTCGCTATTGAGTATTTCCCCCTTGAGAGAATTTCACAAAGTTTTCCTTCACAATTGTCCATTCATTTTCTAACTGCCGACATTGAGGCATACATGCAAACGAACACGCCACCCTGCTGCCTTGTTTCATTCAGGCATTGAATAATAATCATTAGTGCCTGCATTTTAAATGGTGTCGTGTTTATGAACATTTAACATCACATCAGAATGCATCCTACATCTGAAAATTCGAAACTTAATCGTCTTACCAAGTATGGTAACCTGATAGTATCCCGCGCAAACAGTGGTTGGGAGTGTGTCTGCTGACTGCTCTGGTGTCCAGCGCATGGGATGAAGGTTGCTCCACCGAAGGAGGGCATTCTTCTCTTCTAAGGTGAACCTTCGAGAAATGCTGTCCTGATGAAGAGTCCCGTGATGCAAATGCACAGACAGTTCCTGACATTGCCTTGACCACCCGCAGCTCTCCCAGGATAGCAGATTGAGGCCTGGTGGGAACAAGCCCATGTTGGAACAGATCAAAGTCTGTGTATCATGATAAATTAGATACACATTTCACAATTCAACCTTCATTTTGGGGTTGCGGACTCTGTTCAAGCGTTCCCGGATCTCCCTCATTCTCCTGCGGCTCTCTTTCAACTTCTGTATTTCTGGCTCCTCTGTAGAAGCAGACAACTAAACTGAGCATGGTTGAAGTGCATAGCTTACGCTATCAACAATATTAACATCACTCTTACCGTTTTGCCGGCACGCTGCTCGCTGAACTCTGCTCTGTATTTCTGGAAAAATAAATGTTACCTTAATTAAATGAATACTTTGTCCAAAATTGTTCACATCCACGGGTGCAGATCAAACTAGAAAATTGTGGAAAATGTATTTCATACAGTAGTTCAATTCAAATTCAATTTTGTTTGTTTGTTTTTTAATTATGGCCATTGAAATACATTGGAAAATAACACAAAACAAAAAATGTGAACCCCCAAAATTCCTAATAAAAAGAGTGATTGTATTGTGATCACATTGGTAGGAAGCCCTGGAAAGTGTCGTGCTTCTGGTTGGCGTACTGTAAGCTCTGGCGGTGCAGGTTCTGCAACTGGAAAAATAGCCAAAAGGCTGCGGTGCAGGCAGGCTGATTAAATCAATTTCCATTCACTTTGATTGGGGCTTAGAAGGGGGAATTGCTTCACGTCTCTCAACAAATTAAGTTCCACTCTTCATCCAAATATCAAACCTTGTCTTTATCGTCCTTTTCCTTTTCACAGGTGTTTGTTCAGATGAGGCCGACGCAGAGTTGACTGACAAAGATGCATTGCACACATCTTGGTCCCCTGTGGACACACCTGGCACCTGCAGGAAACATATTTCTCTCGTCAATAAAAATCACAATGCTATAGGGCGATATTAAGTAATGTATCATACCTCCTTCGCCCCTAGGCCTTGTGGCTCAGACACGCTGGACTTTTCCACATATCTGACCGTCGTGATCTGACCTTGAATGGCAAGCTTTTTATGTTCTCTATATTGCAGGGTCTCCAACTCCTTTTTCAAGTCAGAAGCAGCGACAAGCGGAACTTGATCTGTCGCATGAACATTTAATATTACAAAAGTCACAATGGGCAACCACCAAATTAATAATGCATGAAGACATTGGTGAAGCATATTCATCATTTTGCAAACGCTGCAAGCTTGGGTTTATTGCAAATGTTATCTGTTCTAAATGTTATCTGAATGAGAACCAGTTAATCATTTCACAATTAAACCACACAATTTGGCTCTCCTTCAATCTTCATCGTTGCAGCTAATGTTTATGCTCACAAAATTATGACTAGTCTTGTAATTTTTGCAACGTTTTCCTCTAATAATTGGAAATGATGTTTTTAATTAATATGACTTTAGTGTTGTAAAATGAGGGCGGCAGGGTGAATAACTGGTTAGCACATCCGCCTCACAGTGCAGGGGTGCAGTATTTGATTTCAGCGCCGGCCTTCCTGTGTAGGGTTTGCAACTTCTCCCTGTGCCTGTGTGGGTTTTCTCTGGGAACTTCAGTTTCCTCCCACATGACGGAAACATTCATGGCAAGTAAATGGAACACTTTAAATTCTCCCTAGTTTTGAGTGTGAGCGCGAATGGTTGTCCATCTATGTGTGCCCTGCGATTGGCTGGCAACCAATTCAGGGTGTACCCCTCCTACTGCTCCCTTCCTCCAGCGCACCCGACAGTTAGGGTAATTACATTGACTTAAAAATGAGGCCTCTGGTATTTTCACTTTTGACTGTAGTTATTAGAATGTTAATCCAGTGAATGTTGGGAGATTAAGGAATGAAAAATATTTTTTAATGATGTAACATCATCGCTGCTCTTCATTCACACAATGAAAATGATTTCTTTTTTATTTTGGGAAAAAAAGTGATATAAATAAAACAGTAACTTCACCTGAGGTCTCTCCCACCGGCTGGGTGAATGTGCACGGGGCATGAGGGTAGCAATAATGGCCACCAATATACGCCTTCTGAAGGACCACGTTGTCCTTCAGAGTCTTGTTCCGCTGGATGAGGTTCTGCACTGTGGGGTCATTCTTGTATGGTTGACCCTTGTGGTAACCTGTTACGGCAAATTGCAAACCACACTGAACAACTCGTCGTCCCTTTAACTACAGACAGATGAGATTTAAGATCTGAATGGTGCCAACCTGTAATGAACATCTCTGTCTCGCAGCTACTGGTGAGGTAAGGCAAGGATCCTTCCACTTGACACACTCGCATCTGAGTGCAGACTAGGTAAGTCACTTAGGGAGAGAGAAGATTTTTTTTTTTTCACAAACTGAGATGATTTGCTCTAGACTTCAACAGAGGGAACATATGAGGCGTCATACTTGGCCATATATTGCCAAAGATTTCTGGCTGGGAGGAGGAAAACAATTCTAGGACAAAAGGATGCTCCGATGTGCCATCCACTGCGTGGACCCAGCGGAAAGACCAGTACTTCTCGGGGCCTGCAATAAAAGCAAAAAAAGGTAAATCAAACACCACAGCTATCAAACTCCACGGGATCCTTGGTTTGCAATGGTCCTGACACACAAGGTTTTGAGGAGATCAACGGTTTCTCAGTGACTATGACTTTATTACTGTGCCAGCACAGTTAGTAAGAGATTCCAACTTAGGTATGAATTCAAGTGTTGATCAAGTGTTTCTGGTAGGTTTGACAGCTCTCACCTGTGTTGCCTTTCCTTTTTACTCTTTCAACACGACCAACAAATGTCACCAAACCGATGATGTCACACACAGAGTTGTTGGGAAACGTTTCAACATCTGATCTGGAACAACGGAAATCTTAAATTAATCATGGCTAACAACACAAATGCTGAGGGGGAAAAAAAGCATTTTTGCATTTGCACAAACCCCCAAAAAGCATGTGTAGGTCTCAAGTACAAAGTACAGACAACCAACTGATTTGAGGTGAAATCACCTTGTGGCAAAGCGGTAGGACACATCAGGCAACGACCACTGAGGCTGAACATTCTTCGGTGGCACCACTGTGATAATTGAAGTTGGGTTGCGAGCGTTCAGGCAGATTTCTGAGACATAAAAGTTCGAAGTGAAATCACACATCCCAGCATCTGCACAATGGCGTTTCTATTATTATTGCCTGGTCCACACCAATAGCGCTCATTGAATTACTTCTGCTGGGTGCACACAAGCAGTGCACTCCGTTTTTCCTCGAGTCAAGATTCAATTAATCAACAACATTCTTAATGATTGATTATTAGCACACCACCACTGGTCCAAAAGTCAAATTAAAGTCATATACACGGTTGAAAACAACTGTTACCAAGTTTAAGTGTGATGGAACACATACCAATTGAGGTGAACATCTTGATTCCATAATGGTCCATTTGTGGGCGTGAACGATTTGAATAACTCTGCTTAAGAGCATAATTCTGGATGTACAACACCGTTCCAACATTGAGCGAGTTGTAAAACTGTGGACAGAGCTCATTCCAAAGCACAAGAGACATGATGCCGCTCTGGTCTGCAACTTCAAAGTATGCCTAGAAGAAAATTAAGTAAAGGTCAGGTGGTATTCAAATGGATTACAGCGGAGGTGATGTGTTCTCAAACATTTTGGGCCCAGAGCCCCCTACGGGAGAGAAATATTTCCAAGGGCCCCTTCATCATCCAACACCAGTTAAACCTAAGTAGCTACCATGTGCAACACTAAATACCATATGATTTCTCCCTTTTTAAACATTTCAGCCTACTTATTCATGACCTGGTCAATATAAATGAACTTAACTAAAGGAAATAGAATTCAATATTTAACCATTGTTGCTACTTCACTTGGACAGCTTCCACTAACAACATGGCATCTTATCAGGAGGAGCTGGTTTACCAAAGCAAAGTCAGTGTTGTCAACTCAGCGATTTTAGTTTTGATAGGACAAAAAAGTTTTTTTATTGACCGCTGGGGAGTCGGGGACCTCAGTTTGTGAACCACTGCTGTGGGCTTAAACTCACCTGGTAGGGGAAATCAATCTTGGATCCGATCTTGCCATAATATCTCAATCTGGATTTCTGTAATATCTTCACCAGAAGAGGGAGGGGTTTGCATGTGCTCCTAAATGCTGACTCCAGGTTATTTATAAGAGAGATCCTGTTCACTGGTGGGCAATAGGACATTGGAGGTCATTAATACAATCTGCAGGCAGTGGTGTTGTTTAGGTGGGGAAGTCAAGGGGAACATACCAGTATAATTTTCTGGATCTCACCCTTCTGCCCCTCCACACACACACCCCCTTTTACACCCATGAAAGCAATTCAGTTCCCTTTGAACATTTTTCTGAGCCACCATTGAATGCCAATAACACAAACAACAGATGAGACAAACAGAAGTATGCTGAAAAAACAAGCAAAGCCTCCTGCAAGAGACAAAAAAACAAAAACAAAAAACTACAGTACAATTGAAGAGCAGTTTCGAAAAGTTTGGAGAGTGCAACATCAGTCCCTCTCGTGTGATATTGCTTAATAGTTTAGTTTTTTTTCAATACCAAATAAACAATTGATTAATAAAAAGAAATTGGGAAAATGTTCTTTACACTTTGATGCAAAATGAAATTGCATCAGATTATTTGATGGAATAATATATAGAATAATTGATTATAAATGTATTCAGTAGTGAAGCCCTAAAGGGTCTATATTGGATTGGATTGGATTGGATCGCTTTATTGTCATTACACATTCATGCAACGAAATTATGGACTTAACAGGCTATATAGGACAAGTGTAAGAAAATTGATAAATATATAATGCTTGCTTTCAAATCAGAAAGTACAGTATTCACATTTGAGAGTCTGAAATCAGAGGAGTTTTAAAAATATATTTTGAATTGTACAAAACCTTTTTACTTTCCATTTTTGTCCAATAAGGCTACATACAAGAATTTTATTTTTTACAGAATTGTTATGTTCAGTGTTGCCATTGGACTTATTTAGGGTTTTACAATTTGGTATTTTATGCTCCTTTTCGGCCAAAACAGAAAGGAGCGTTTCAGTGCAAGACGGTGACCTTTTACTCATTAAGTCATACTCCTGAACAATTTGCATCTGCCCCACTTCTGATATGATGGCTGCGCCCCTGCATGCGGGTGTGAAAGCAGCATGACAGAGAACGCAGCATCTCACCGTCCAGCACTGGATCACGCGACGAGGGAGGCGCCGAGGTCCACACGTCCCCCTCTGGATACTCATTGTTCCACAGAGACAAGTAGTGTTTGCGGTTCAGCTCAAGGGGTACGTCGCTTTGGAGTAAGGTGCTCCTCTCCATGCCGCTTTTGACCAGAACAGGCAGTGTCCTCACATCCCGAATGTGAGACAGCAGCGAGGATTCACCCGAGCTGCACCTTAATTTTTCGATGCTGATGTAGCCGTGACCCAGTCTCCGCTCGTTATAAACGAACGAGCACTGCGCGATGATGATGTCTGAGCCTGTTCTAAGGCTATTGGTGTGAACCAAGTGATTTAAACTTGGGTGAAGGTAGCATTTGGCACGCCACACTCCGTCGGTGACAGTCACGTCGTAGCTGTAGCTCTCACACGGCTGTCCTTCACTTGGGTCGCACAAGTAGCGCTGAAGTGCGATGACAGCGACACACGCCGCCTCCTCTTCCTCCACATTTAGTTTACTATTTTGGC